CCCCCCCCCCAAAAAAAAAAAAGAAAAAAAAAAGTGAACGGGCATGCCGGTCACCCGTTCGCGGATGCCACTGGGTAGTATGAAGTTATGAACATGCCCTGAACGCGTGGCTGAGACCCGTTCAAAGGACCCCCCGTTCACGAACGGGGGCTGGGCACTTCTCAAGACTGGCAAAGGCCAAAATAGAAAAAAAAAAAGAAAAAAAAAAGGGGAAAAATGTTCGGAAATCTCAAAATTTCATGGCTACCGACCAGACGTCCGGAGCCCCATCCAGACAGTCTGGACCCGGTAGTCTGTGCTGGGTGTCCGGTTTGGGGGGTCCGGTTTGGCTCCCCTAAGAAGGATTTAAAAAAAATTGTTGGCGGGGTCTAGGTGTAGGTTGAGGCCCTAGGCGGCCGTTAAAAATATGGCACGGTTTTTTTAGGCGCGTTTGAACCTCCCAGTCACTGCCAGACACGAGAGGGAAAATTTTCCCTCGTGCCGGCACAGGCGGCACAATTTCAAACGACGGCTTCAACTTGCCCCCGCCGCCCGCCTGCTCGAAGCCGCTGCCTCCTCCAAGCTGCCGCCCGTCAAAGCTGCTGCCGCCGTTGTCAGCTGCTGCCATTGCCGCCTTCCTCCTGCAGACCAGGTTGCTCTCGTCTTCTGCCATCAGGGAGCCAGCCCTCAGCTCGCGTGTCACGAAGCGGGGAGCCAGCGAGCTTTCAGGTCTCTCTCTCTTTCTCTCTCTATCTCTACGTGCTGTCTAGAACCGGATGTTGCTCTCAAGTCGCATGTCAGGTCTCCCTCTCACGTCTCAACTCCTTTTGCTGCCATGTACTTCTCCCTCTCTCTCTCTCTCTCTCTCTCTGTCTCTCTCTCTCTCTCTCACGGGCGCACGCGCGCTCCCTCCCTCCATGCAACCTCCTCGAATGCGTCTGTCAGCCATGTGACGACCTCCACAACAATCATCCACCTCCATCCCTCCCATTGGCACCTTTATTTATATGACTTTCTGATGATGATGGTCCTTTCATGAGTAGGGGGAGGGAGGGAATCCGAGGGATGGATGGATGCCCTTTCGTTTTTTTTGTTTTTTTTTTGTCATCTTTGAACGATGCAGCTTGTTGGGTCTTGAATAAGGGTTGAGACGAGGAGGAAGAGGGATGGATTCATGGAGGGGGTTGACGTGGCCTTTTTCAGGCTTGAATTCAGAAGAGGTAAGTATGATTAAGTTTAAGTACCTCAAACTCTCGGGGGTTGCTGGCACTTGCTGTCCACTTCTGCAATCAGCAGTTGGTACGAAGAACCATCGACTGGCACTACGTTGTTGTTGTTGTTTGTTCGTTTGTTTGTTTGTTTGTTTGTTTGTTTGTTTGTTTGTTTTAAATTTTAATCCGGACCGTCTGGGTCCGGTTTTGTCCGGTGTCCGGAAGATGTCCGGATTACCGGGCGTCCAGATTGGACCAGACACAGGTCCGGTTTTGTGTCTGGACATGCTGGGTGTGCGGGTCCGGGGTAGCCATGCAAAATTTTGATAAAATTTAATTAAAAATTTAGAACTTCAAAGCTGATAAAAAATCATAAAATGAAACTCACGTTCAAACTCCTCCGTTGCAGCCTTCTTCTGAAGTACCTTCCAGGTACGCTTCTGGTTTATCTGCGCAACGATGTCGGACTGCAAAGCGGCCATCGTCTGTATTGCACACAAATGGAGTCACCGTGAAGAACACATGATGGGTAAGCCGTAAACATTAAAAAAAAAAAAACCGTAAACATGATGCCATGACCAAATCCAATGTGGTCAGATTCTACAATTGCAAATACCGAATAAAGAAATGACATTCCTCTATTAAAAAAACTCTCTCTCTCTCTCTCTCTCTCTCTCTCTCTCTCTCTCTCTCTCTCTCCATTAAGAGAGACAGAAATCCGTTCGACTGCAGCAGACGCAGATGACGGAGGGTCTTGGAGGCACGTGCTGATGTCGACCGTTTGCCGAACGCTCGGTGTTTGAACTCAGGGCATACTCATACTAGCCCTTTGCTAAATGTATTTGACTGCAATTACAGCCAGACTTTGACAAATCTGGCCGCAATCACCAATCACATTCAGAGCTTAGTAAAAAAAACTGAGCAGCAGGAGTATGCCCTCACACTAGGGAGTTTTTGTTACTGGACTCTGGACGTGATTACGATCAGATTCGTCCATGCCTGGCCGTAATTGCAGTCAGATACATTTTGGAAAGGGCTAGTGTGAGTACGCCCTGAGATAAGCATGTAACATATCTCTGGAGTCCGAACCATTTCTTTTCCTTCTTTTTTTTTTCCTTTTTTTTGTCATAAGAATCTCTGGACAATTTCTCGTCCAGAGATGTCAGTCTTGCCCAGGGGCCGTGGTCATCTTCTCTGTGGGCATACTCGCACCAGGACTTTCCTGGATGTATCTGACTGCAATTCCGGCCCTTCGTGCATGCATCTGATCCCAATTACGCCCACAGAGGAGTCGAGAAAGTCCTACTGTGAGTAGGCCGTGTATCACTCCAGTTTCAAAGGGTGTCTACATATCTGTGAATGCATCTCTAATGCATCTGACGGATATTTCAGGTCTGATACAGCCATAATGAGGTCCCCAGAGCACAATGAAACCTCATTATGAATCGATGGTTGTATCAGATCTGAAAGATCCGTTAGATGCATTGAGGGATTTGGAAAGAGGAATACAGAATTTTTTTTTTTTTTGTTTTTTGTTTCTTTTCATACGGCCATTTCTTCCCCCCCCCCCCCCAAAAAAAAAAAAAAAACAGAACTCTGAGTCTCTGACAGTCCTCGTTTTGGGCGGTGCAAGGCGTTATCCTAACTACCAAGAAGCAAAAAGGAAACGAACCCAAAAAAAAATTCCGGGTTCACGCTTCCCGTTCATTATTTTTTGCGGGACGGGCGAGAACTTCGATTCAGCCCTCCCCCCCCACACACACACACTTCTTTTGTTTTCTCCAGGGGACCCCTATTTTTTCCCCCACCAGGCGAGCGCACCGCGTGCGCATTGCGCATTGCACCGCGCAATCACGCACGTGATGCACCGCAAGTATATGATTATTAAATTCTGATCTCAAAACTGCATTTTTTTTACAATGAAAGTAGACAGCAATTTAAAAAAAAAAAAAAAAAAAAGTAGACAGCAATAATAGTTGAGGTCTTTGAGGAGCGTAAGGTCTCTGGAACCGACCTAGCCCATGTGGCTGAATGATGCGCCCATGTTAGTAGACACACGAAGAGACTGATTTCTGGTGGAATCAGATGAATACACTGCAATACACTAAAAAAGTGTAAATTTCTCTAAAATATAAAACCAAGGTTACCCAAGAGCCTAGCTCAAGGGGACCACACCCATGAACTGTTGAAATACAGACCAGGTGCTGTGTTCGAATCCAGATGATGGAACTTGACGAGTAAAACCACCTACTAATGAATTGCTTGGGGCCGGTCAGCTCAATGATCATATCTCAAGGTCGTCACCCTTAAAAAAAAAAAAAAAAAAAAAAAAAAAAAAGGTTCCCCTGCGCACAGATGACACGCGTAAATTGAGAAATGGTCCAAATTTTTTACTTTGAAAAAATTAGTGTGTTCAAAGCAGGCCAGTGCTCTGTATAAAACACACGCTGCACCCGGTTTCCAGCAGGCGTGGCTCCCAACCAATAGACTAGAGCATGACCGCTAGGGGGGGGTGCTCGTATCACCCTCCCTAGCAGCAAGACTGTTTAAAATAAAAACCAAAACAAAACAAAACAAAACAAAACAAAACAAAACAAAACAAAACAAAACACAGAGGTCTCTGGAGTCTGGCATCAAACAAATCTTGGTTCTAGTACTGCTCAACTACAAATGCCTAATAAGAACGGCCTGTGGGAAAGAAGCCGAAAGAACCAATTCCAATCACTACATGCGGGCTGTTCGGCTACAGACGTCCTTCTTTTGGCAGCCTCGATTAATCGCTCTGCCCCCCTGTGTTTTGCTCTGAAATCAATTCCAAGTCACAATCAATGCCGCTGAAGATCACTTGCATCAGCAGTCTTTCGGGTTTCAGGTCTCGCGTGAGAAGGTGACTTTTTTTTTTTTTTAGCGGCTTTTACTTCCTTCGTGGGCCGTGATAAAGGGCCATGGTTCAAGTCCCACCTGCAACTGGAGCAAGTGAAGAATGGAGGCTTAATCCACTACCTTCTTCTAATACCCCAAATACAGCGTACGGTTATTAACTTGTATTTAGACTGAAAGATACGCCAAATACAGCTAGTACAGTGACCGTGTGTGTTGCATTCGGGGGAAGAAGGTAGTACACGCCCCCAGGCTTGCAGTCGGAAATTGTCGCCACAAGAAAACGAGGCCGAAAGTCAAACGCTGGGCCTGCCTTTGATGAATTCGAGGATCGGCGGTCATATTTTCTTTGGTTTCGCGATTCCAGAATCCGAGGTGCCAGGCCCGCGGCCCAGGAGCCCATGTACTGGTGCTTTAAGCCATCAGAACCTGATGCTGCCACAGTCTTTTCCACAGTGTGCATGTGTTGTCATGTTCACCATACATAACTCCACACACACAAAAAAAAAGCATAAATGCTCCGGACTGTTTCGCCGTCGAACGTTCGCCGAGTGTGTGTTTTTTTGGCACTCTCTCCACAAATTTCCACAGTGTGACCACCCAAACTCTGGCGTGCCCCTTTCCAAATGTCACACAGTTTGCGTTTGACTCGGGTCTTCCAATTGACGATTTTTTCGAGGGCTGAGATGGACGCAACTGTGGCGGCAAGCTTGTGCACAACAAGAACCTCGCGGAAAAGAAGGACCTCACTGATGACGTTATCACGCCACAGCTGTCGGGGGATAAGAAGGGGGGGGGGGGGTAGGTAGGGCACTTGAAGTAGATGTGGAATTGTGGATTGGATGATGACAGAGAACAGTTGGCCAAGACAACTCCGCAACATCACTACTCAGATCAACCCCGAGCCCCCCCCCCCCCCCCCCCCCCCCCCGTGGGTCAAAGCAGATAACTCGTACCTTGGCTCTCTCCTCAGCTTTGCACTTCTCCTCGTGCGCAATGCGCCGCATCTCTTCTTCGAGCAGCGCACGTTCAGCTTCCTTCTCTTCTTGCAATCGTCTTCTCGCCATCTCTGAAGATTGCAATCAATCCAACACGCTTCAGGCTTCAGTCACATCATTGTTAACTCAGTCAAATAGTTGCTAACTCAGTCAAATAGTTGTTAACTCAATCGCACAGTTGTTAACTCAGTCAAATAGTTCTTAACTCAATCGCATAGTTGTTAACTCAGTCAAATAGTTGTTAACTCAGTCAAATAGTTCTTAACTCAATCGCATAGTTCTTAACTCAATCACATTAGTTGTTAACTCAGTCAAATAGCTCTGTCTGAAACCACCACTACACCTGGGGTGGGTGGCGCCGCACTGTGTGCCAAGCTTTGCCGAAAAGCCAGTTGCGACTGTTGCGCACTTTTTTTTTTTTTTTTTTTTTCCTGGCTGCGCTGCCAGCCATTGTAGTCCTGTAGCCCCGAGCGTCCGAAAGTTGAGGAGAAGGCTAATATGAAAAAAAAAAAGAAATCTTGCAAGGTTACGGACGTGTAGCTTGGCTAATTAACTCGTTCAAACCATACATGCGGCGCATGGACATGCCCGGCGTCGCGCACGTGCGCCGCACCGCGCAGAGCGCATGATGTGCGCGCACCCGATGCGGCGCATAGTCGATTCCGGGGGTTCACCAAAAACTTTGAAAGTTGGGGGGGGTGTTAGGAAGGCCGGTACCACCTCGCGCCACCGGTTCACAAAAAAAATAAAAATAAAAATAGGGTGCGCAGGGCCCCGCCAAAACCGAAGGGCGGGTTTTTTTGAGTACTTCGTTTTTCGTTTTTCCAAGTACTCGGCCCTGCGTATCGCCGGCCCCACCCCTTCAGTCGGCCTTGTGTGTGCCCCGCGTTCTGTTTCCCCTTCGTTGTTGTCGTCGTCGTCGTGTGTGGTGTGTTGGAGCAGGAGGCAGCCCCCCACGTCGTCGTTCAGACACACCTTTCAGCTTCGAACAGCGAGGAGGCGGGTCGCAGCAGCGGGAGGATCCGAAGGACAGCGCCGAATTCAGGTGGGTTACCACCAGCCCCTCCCCCCATCTCTCTCTCTCTCTATGGAGACTCGTTCGGTGTACCAGCGGGAGATTCGTTCGATTTTGCTCATCCTGGCGATCTCTCTCTCTCTCTCTCTCTCTCTCTCTCTCTCTCTCTCT